TTAATTAATTTATTTATATTTTTTAAGTTTTGTTTTTGCTTCTTTATGGGGGGGAGAGAGAGAGAGAGAGAACGCAAGCGTGCATGCGCACAAGGTGGTGGTGGTGGGGTAGAGGGAAAGGGAGAATCTTAAGCAGGCTCCATGCCCAGTGTGGAGCTGGACGCAGGGCTCAATCTCACAGCCCTAAGATCATGACCCGTGCTGAAATCAAGAGTCGGACGCTTAACCGACTGAGTCAACCAGGTGCCCCCTAAGATTTTATTTTAAAGTAATCTCTGAATCCAATGTGGGGCTTGAACTTATTTATAACCAGGAGATCAAGAGTCGCACATTCTACCGACTAAGCCAGCCAGACATCCCACCCCAGAATTATTTTAAATAACTCATGTCACATCATTTCATCTGCAAATATTTCAGTGTGTGTCTCTAAACAATAAGGACTATTTAATGTATACAACTGTAATAGTATTGATATACATAAAAGTTTTAACAATATTTCCTTAATATTAAATATCCAGTCAGTATGCAAATTTCTCTAGTTGCCTCATAAAAGTTATATTTATTTGAATTTTTTTGGAATGAGGATCCACCTTTTTTTTTTAAGAGTGGGGAGGGGTAGAGGGAGAGGGACAGAGAGAGACAATCTTTTTTTTTTTTTTAAAGATTTTATTTATTTATTTGAGAGAGAGAGAATGAGAGACAGAGAGCATGAGAGAGGGGAGGGTCAGAGGGAGAAGCAGACTCCCTGCCGAGCAGGGAGCCCGATGCGGGACTCGATCCCGGGACTCCAGGATCATGACCTGAGCCGAAGGCAGACGCTCAACGACTGAGCCACCCAGGCGCCCCAGAGAGAGACAATCTTAAGCAGGCTCTGCACTGGGCTTGTTGAAGGGCTGGATCTCATGAACCTGAGATCAGGACCCTGAGATCATGACCTGAGCTGAAATCAAGAGTCGGATGCTTAACCGACTGAGCCACCCAGGTGCCCTAGGAATGAGGACCCTAAAGCTAAAGATTGCAGTTGGTTCATCTGCATCTTTGGTTTTGATACCAAGGTAATTCCCTTCCTTTTTCTTCCATTTTCTGGAAGAGATTGTGTAGAAATAGCATTAATTCTTTACACACTTGGTAGAATTCTCTAGTGAAATATTGTGGGTGGTGGGGGTCTGTGGGTGTTTAAATTACTGAATCAATATCCTTGATTGTTATAGGGTTATTCAAATGACCTATTTTACATTGGGTGAATTGTGGTAGCTTGAACTCTTCAAGTAGTAGGTTGCATTTACTGCAAAAAATTTCCCTCTAAGCACTGCTTTTACTGTATTCCATAAGTTTTGGTATTTTGTTTTCATTTGTCTCTAAGTTTTCTCTAATTTCCTTTGTGATATCTTCTTTGATTTATTGGTTATTTAACAGTGTATTGTTTAATTTCCACATATTTGTGAATTTCCTAGTTTTCTGTTATTGATTTCTAGCTTCATTCCACTGTGATTGGAGAAGAAACATTATATGATTTCAATCTTTTAAGTTTATTGAGGGGTGCCTGATTGGCTCAGTCCTAAGAGCATGTGGCTCATTATTTCAGGGTCATGACTTCAAGCCTCAGGTTGGGTGTGGATCCTATTTAAAAATAAATAAATTAATTAAATTTGTTGAGACTTGTTTTGTGGTTTAACATATAGCCTATCCTGGAGAACATTCCATGTGCACCAAAGAATGTGTTTCTGCTATTGCTGGGTGGGGTGTTCTACAGATGTCTGGTAGGGCTAATTGGTTTTTGTTTTGTTTTTAAGATTTTTATTTATTTATTTGACAGAGAGAGAGAGTCAGAGAGCACAAGCGGGGGGAATGGCAGAAGGAGGGGGAGAAGCAGACTCCCAGCTGAGCAGGGAGTCCGACTTGGGGCTTGATCCCAGGATCCTGGGATCATGACCTGAGCTGAAGGCAGAGGCTTAACCAACTGAGCCACTCAGGTGCCCGGGGCTAGTTGGTTTATAGTGATGCTTAAATTCTTGATTTCTTCTTATTTCCTTTTGTGTATTTTTAAGATATTTTCTTAAGCATCATGTCACCATGGGGATTACAATTAACATCGTTTTTAAAAATTTTATTTATTTGTTTGCTAGAGAGAGAGAGAGAGAGCACAAGCAGGGGGAGTGGCAGGCAGAGGGAGAAGCAGACTCCCCGCTGAGCAAGGAGCCCTATGCGGGGCTCGCTCCCAGGACTCCAGGATCATGACCTGAGCCAAAGGCAGACACTTAACCAACCGAGCCACCCAGGCGTCCCACAATTAATATCTTAAATTGACAACAATCTTGCACTGATATCAATTTAAGTTGAGTCACATAAAAACTGCTCCTATATCGCTCCATGCTCCCCCTTTCTATAGCAAATTTTTGTCACAAATTGTACCTTTATACATTATGTGCCCATTAACATAGATTTCTAATTTTTTTATGCATTTGCATTTAAAAAAAAATTTAATCTCTGCATCCAATGCGGGGCTCGAACTCATGACCCTGAGATCAAGAGTCACATGCTCCTCCAACAGAGCCAGCCAGGTGCCCCTTTAATGCATTTGTGTTTTAAATCATGTAGGAAACAGAGTTACAACCCCAAAACACAAGAATGCTTCTTTTATATTTTTCGATGTAATTACCTTTATCAGAGTTCTTTATTTCTTTGTATGTCTTCAAATTTCGCTGATTTCCGTCCACTCTTTTCCTTATTATTTCCTTCCTTCCGCTTGCTTTTTAAAATATATTTTTAAAATATTTTATTTATTTATTTGACACAGAGAGAGAGATAGCGAGAGAGAGAGAAAGAGAGAAAGAGCACAAGCAGGGGGAGCGGCAGGCAGAGGGAGAAGCAGGCTTCCTGCATGAGCAGGGAGCCTGATGCAGGGCTCGATCCGAGGACTCTGGAATCATGACCTGAGCTGAAAGCAGTGGTTTAACCAACTGAGCCACCCAGGCGCCTCATCCTTTTGCTTGCTTTGAGTTTACTTTGGTCTTCTTTTTCTGGTTTCTTGAGGTGGGAGCTTAGATTATTGAACTGAGACTTCTCTTTTCTGATGTGCGCATTTATTATATACACTTCCCTCTCAGCATTGCTCTCACTGTGTCCTGCAAATTTTGGTATGCTGTGTTTTCATCTCATTCAATATATGTATTTTTATTTCCCTAATGCGCCACCGTGTCATTCCTGGGGTCCTGAAGTCCCTGGCCGGTTTGCCTTCTCATCACCTTTCAGGGTTTTCTTTTTTTTTAAAGATTTTATTTATTCATGAGAGACAGAGAGAGAGACAGAGGCAGAGGGAGAAGCAGGCTCCCCGCCTAGCAGGGAGCCCGATGCGGGGCTCAATCCCAGGACCCTGGGATCATGACCTGAGCCGAAGGCAGACGCTTAACCGTCTGAGCCACCCAGGCGCCCCCTTTCAGGGTTTTCTTATGCTTGTCCAGGGTTTATAGCTAGCGGGAGAAAGAGGGAAAAGTAGATCTGCTCTATCTTCCTGGAAGAGTGAGTTTAAAAGCAGGGTTACTTGTCCTGACCAGTTTTCCCCCACCTCCGTCTGCATTTTACTGATTACATTCCCATGTAACTGACTGTGCCCCTCCATCCCCTGCGTTTTCCATCTATGGTTGTTACATTAAGAGGCTTTGGTCACATTTAGATCTGATTTTTGACAAGACTATTTCATGGGTGTGCTGTGTTCCTTGGCCAGGAGGCACACTATGCTCAGCGTCTTCGTGTGCCATTTGTAGCCTTCGCTGGTCATTGTCTGGATTCATTAACTTATCAGGGATACAGATGGCTTTTAAATTATTAAAAGATGTCAACCTCAATTAGAGTTTTGCAAATGAAATTTTTAAGTATGGGATACTATTTTTTCATCAGCCAGACTGACAAAGATCAAAGAGTGTGAATGCGGATGTTGGCCAGGGCGCAGGAGACGCGCGGTTCCCCAGGATGACAGCTTTGGCTGTCTCCAGCAAAACAACAAATGCGTATATCCTTTGGCCCAGCGATTCTGCTTCTGTGACTATCCCGTGGGTACACATGTATGTGTGCAAAATGATGGATACACCAGGTTGTTGACTGCAGTAGTGTTTGGATTAGCAGAAGTTGAGAACGAGGAAACTGTTCCTCCCTCAAGGCGAGTTTCCCAGCTGGTGTGCTACACGGTTTCACGAGCTGTGGCAGATCTGTTGTTGTCCCGGCCATGTGCCCTCAGCCCATCCTCAGAAGTCCTGTGCAAATTTGGTGGACAGTTCTCATTCAAGGGAACAGTCACCTTGTCTTTTAGACAATAGGTTTATTTAAGCTTGGCCCAAGCATGGGGTAGGCAGGAAGTGCCAAATGCTGAGGAGAAATAACAGAGAAGTAGCCCTCGACCAATGAGGGATGGGAGTTGGTGGAGAAATACCTCGAAGTTCTTGTCCCTAGAATATTCCACAGGTTTTTCAAAGGATCCCCTGGGAAGGTGCCCTGTTGCCTGAGGTGGCAACTTACTTGTCATTGCACCCTGTCTTGGCTTCCTGTCCTTCCCTGCCTCACTGTCCCCACTGTCCTGGGACCACCACTTAAACGACTTCCTCCTGAATCCTTACTTTTAGACTTTGCTTTCAGGGGATATGCATACTAAGACACAGAGCCTGGGGCAGGTGGAGCCCCAAGACTAGTCCCCTCTACCACCCCTCTGTAGAGCAGTGGTAGCGGGTGTGGGAATGGTCTGACAGCATAACTTAATAACACATTTACAGTGTCGGATGCCATTCTTAAGCACTTAACAAACATAAATCCTGCATTAAATCTACATAACCACCCATTACTATCATCTCCATTTTACAGGTGATGTCAAGACACTTGTCCAAGGGCACCCAGCTATCCCAGGAAGTATGGATTTAGAGCTCTGCTCCTAACCACTACGCAGCCTGTCTCTCTTCTGGCCCTCATTGCTCCATCCGGATGAGCTGAGCATGGCCAAGATTGGGCTCTTCCTGGATATCTACTACAGGGGTCAGCCACAGCGCACGCGGCCATCCATCTCCACAAGGACCCTCCACACACAAAGTCTGTGGAGCCTTTGGAGGAATTTGTTTTCCAGGTGCCCAAGGAGCTTGGCACGAAGCCCAGGTGAGATTGATGTGCCCAAAAGGGATGGCCAACCAGCTGCAGAGCGATGTCCCGCCACATAAATGGCTTGCAAATAAGGGTTTTATTGTTATTTTCATTTATTGCTATTATTTTTACAAGGCAATAGGGCGGGGAACAGTTTTTATGCTTTGTTTTGCAGGGGGTGGGGGGCACTGTTTTTTACATCAGTGCAATTTGAGCCAAGCCTTCCTGATGTGGGGACTGGTCATTTCCCCGCTCAGCAACAAATTTACAAACTATCTTGTTGGCTGGCCACTACATTGTTTATATTCCTTCTCAACAAAGTGGGGCTCAAACTCACAACCCCAAGATCAAAGTCCCATGCTCTACTGACTGAGCCAACCAGGTGCCCCTTGGTACCTTAGTGTTTTAAGAGTGACTTCCTCAGCACCTGGCTGGCTGTTGGTAGAGCAGGCAACTCTTGATCTCGTACTGGGTTGTGGAGCTTCCTTAAAAAAAGAGTGACTTCCTTAAACTTTAAGATTGACCAATATGATCTCAATACATTTATGTCTTATTTGATTTTTTAATAAATGTCCATGCACTAATGTTAGAATTCTGGTCATATGAAGTATTAATTCCCTCCTAAATTATTTAAACCACCTCATTTCAGTAGGTTCACACATGATTAGCTTCAATAATTACATGTAAAAAGCCTTGTGAATTCTTATGAAATTTAAATGGTCTTACCACACAGTCTGTCCCTTTCTTCTTTCCTTCCTTTCGCACTTTCTCTCCCTCCTTTCTTCTCTCCCTATGTACTATACGGCCTTACCCAGGTTTAATAACAATTATAATTTTCTAAAAAAAGGGGGGGGACTTGAAAGCTTTATATAATTTCCTGTGTTCTGGAACTTATCATTAATTTAAAATACGTGAAATGAGGGGCGCCTGGTGGCTCAGTCGTTAAGCGTCTGCCTTCGGCTCAGGTCATGATCCCAGAGTCCTGGAATCGAGCCCCACATTGGGCTCCCTGCTCTGCGGGAAGCCTGCTTCTCCCTCTCCCACTCTCCCTGCTTGTGTTCCCTCTCTCGCTGTGTCTCTGTCAAATAAAATCTTAAAAAAAAAAAAAACCTGAAATGAAAAAGTTCATTTGGATTTGAAATCCACTTGAATACATTATACTTGTCAACTAAATAAAGGGAAGAACTGTTGGAACATTTAAATATAATTTCAATTGTAAGCTTTGGGATGGTTAAAATTTTTCTTTTATCACCTACTTGTGGCTATGAGGTCTCTTGTTGATGCTGACTACCAAGAATTTGAAGAGATCATCAGTAATAAGCCTTGATCAAGAACTGTGTGAACCATTTTGATTATAAAAGCTCATAAAATAATGTATTCGTTGTTTCAAAGTTAATACTTCACTTTTAAATATATTTCATTTTTCTCCTCATAAAAATAGTATATAGAAATGGAATGGATTTGGGCGCCTGGGTGGCTCAGTTGGTTAAGCGACTGCCTTCAGCTCAGGTCATGGTCCCAGGGTCCTGGGATCGAGTCCCGCATCGGGCTCCCTGCTCAGTGGGAAGCCTGCTTCTCCCTCTCCTGCTCCCCCTGCTTGTGTTCCCTCTCTCGCTGTGTCTCTCTCTGTCAAATAAATAAATAAAATCTTAAAAAAAAAAAAAAAAAAAGAAATGGAATGGATTTTCCCCTAGGACCCACATAGGCAGTCTGAAATCCCTCCCAACTTTCCCTCAGGGTGCAATTCCAGTATTTTATGCATGTGCCACGGCACGTGTAAGGTTGGAAATCACTGAGTTAGAGGTCTGGCTTAAAACACACACAGCTAGAAAAAGTAATGAAGCTGTCATGAGTGTTGATAACTTGAAGCTGCACGATGAGAACACAGGGATTCATGTATGAATATGGAAACTTCTGTAAGATACATTATTTAGGGGTAAAAGGCAAGGCAGAGTGTGTCTGTTACCATTTGTGTAAAAAAAGGCCGGGGGCGTGGTGCGGTGAGGATCAAAATATATTTATATCTATGTATTTGCCTGTATGTGAAAGATGTTTCCAGAAGGATCAAACATCTGAAGAGGGGTCCTGAGTGGCTAAGGTAAAAGGGCAGGGGCAAGGGACGCATTGCGGGGGTAGGGGTGGGGGGGTAAGGCTGGAGACTTCGGTGTTGAAGTAAGGAGAATGATGACCCTGAGTCCCAGGAGAGCCGCGGCAAGCTCCGAATACGGTACCCCAAGATTGGAAGTGTAAAGGTCCCTCTGGTGAGCAGGACGGAGGACAGACACCAAGGAAGGGTGGCCTGCGGGAGACAGAGGTCCGGGGCGCCGCGGAAGGGCAGCTGCAGTGGGCGTGGCCTCAGGTCTCACCCCACCCTCGGCCACCAGAGGGCAGTCAAGCCCGCTCCTGAAGGCCGGCGGGGCGGAGCGCCCGAGGCAGGCTCCCGCCTCCAGCCCCGCCCCCGGCTGGAGCACCCACCCCGAAGTCCCCGCTCGCTTTCTCAGACCCCTCCGGGACAACGGCCACCGGCTGCCTCAGTGGGCAGCCTCTTCTTCCACCTCCGGGGGAGCCCGCGCGATGGTGGGGTCATCGTTGCCGCGCCTTCCCATCCAGTCCTGCCCCAAGCTCTGTCGGGTTGTTTCATTCAATCTTGACCACAATCGCGTGAGATGGGTACTGCCATCAACCCCATTTATAGAGGGCAAAGTTGGAGCAAAGAGAGGGTAGGTAACTTGCCCAAAGTCACAAGCCCAGGAATGGTGACCTAGGAGACACACCTGGCCTGCCCACCCTGAGAACCAGAGCCTTAACCAAACCATGGCTTCTTCACTGGTCTCCAGGTTTCCACTGTTCCCTTCCAGAACCTTCTCCATACGGGGTGTTTTGTTTTGGGGGCTCTAAGGGGGCGTATCACTCCCTGACTTACAACCTCCCTTTAGCTCTCACTGCCCTCAGGATCAAGTTCACTCCCCTCACCCCACCTCTCTGGCGCAGTCTTGACCCAGGAGCTTCTTTTCAACTCCACACATCACCTTTCCTTCTGCCTGAAGAAAACTCTTACTCACCCTGTGCACTTGCTGCTTCTTGACCAGGACCACTCTTTATGCTTCCCTCATTCTTTTAGTTAACTCATACGGTCTTCTGGCCTTACTTCTTCCAGGGAGCCTAGACAAGCTCAGGTCCCCATATTAAATACTATTGGGCACCCACTATGAGCCTCTTGGGTTGCACTGCCCTAAGACATGTGCTTCACTTTTGTAATTATAATGGTGTCACCTTTCCAAAAACTCCGATCACCTTTGATTCCTCTTTCTTGAACTATTTCTATCAGTAAATGGATTGTGGGATCTTACCTTTAAAATGTTACCTCAAGTCTGGAGGTACCTGGGTGGCACAATCGGTTGAGTGGTGACTCTTGGTTTCAGCTCAGGTAAAGATCAGAGCCGTGAGATCGAGCCCCACATCAGGCTCCCTGTTCAGCGTGGAGTCTGCTTGAGGTTCTCTCTCCCTCTGCCCCTCCTGCTCATGCTCTCTTAAATATTTTATTTTAAAAGATATTTATTTGAGAGAGTGAGTGAGAGAGAGCACGAGTCGGGGTAAGGGGCAGAGGGAAGGAGAGAAGCAGACTCTCCTGCTGAGCAGGAAGCCCAATGTGGAACCCTGGGATCATGACCTGAGCTGAAGGCAGACGCTTCATGGACTGAGCCACCCAGGTGCCCCAATAAATACATCTTAAAAAAAAAATGTTACCTCAAGTATGACTCTTTCCTACCTCCTTCCCACTAGGTCCTTCATAAGTCTTGCCATTCTTCCTTATGGTCACCCAGCTTCCACCTTTGCCCTCCAGTGCCCAGACCCATCCTTATATATTTGTCTCCCCAAGAATGGGAGTTCCATAAAGGAAGAGCTTTGTTCACTGCAGAATCCCCAGTGCCTAGGACTGTGCCTGGGCAGAGTCCTTGCCAAGTGGCTGTTTGTTCCCCTAGAATGTCAGTTCCCGAGGGCAGAGACTGTGTCCATCCTGTGCACACATACCCCAGTGCTCAGCACACAGCAGCTGCTCAATAAAAACCCCATCAATGAGCAGGTGAGACATGCAGGCCCGGAGGGAAGAAGGGACTTGTCCAAGGCCCTCTCCTGAGGGCAGCAGAGCCGGCAGCGGTGCCCAGCTCCCCCACAGAACCTGCTGGCAGCTGCACAGCCCCTCCTTCCCCAGCCCGGGGCACACAAGAGCCCAGGCCCTTTACTCACTGAGTCAACACAGTTTATTACTGAACTGCACTTTCACCTTCACACAGACTATTTCAAAGAGCTGGAACAAGTGTGGGGTGGGGGCTGGGGGGGGGGGGACGACAGGTGCCCCTCAGGAGCCAGGACCCCCAGCTGGCTTCCCCAGACCAGGGCAGGGGAGGGAGCATCAGGCCGCTCAGTCTCCGGGCACCAGCTCTCCACGTGCACACGCACAGCAAGCCAGCAGCTCCTCACACATAAATACAGACACGCTTAACAAAAATAGTATATCATCTTCACAAGGAATAAAAACTAGTCTCGAATATGTACAGCAGAGAGCCCGGGATGGCCAGGGGTAGGCCGGGACCCCCAGGGACGAGACAGGCCATGGGTGGAGTAGAGGAGAGGGAGGCCTGAAGGACTCCCGGCCAGGCCACTCTGACCTTGGCAGCCCGGCAGCCCAGGCTGAATGGGGGGGGGGGGGGGGGGGGGCGCACACACATCTGTTTGGCCAGGTAGGACTGACCCCTCCTCCCACCCCCACCTTCACCCTGTGCATCACAGTCTCCCTCCTGCCTTTCCTGCCTGAGGTAGGGAAGACTCTAGGGCTCCCACAGCTGCTCCCTGTACCTCCCCTTCACCTCTGGGCCAAGGCCCCCAAATCCCTGGACTCCATGGGCGGCAGCCCAAGGCAAAGGTGCCACAGGCTGATCATCTTGCAGGAAGTGAGGCAGCTGAGGCCATCAACAGCTCTGGGGCACCTGCCTTGGGCCCAGTTGGTCCCTCAG